TAAGTGGCTGAAAGAATGATAGACCCAGCCAATGAATTTTAAGGAGGGGTTAGTCATTAAGACAATTTACCTTCCCTTCTCCCTCTAAGCCTATTTGTTCAACTTGGGTGAAGAGGTTTTCCAGTGTGTTTACCAATTAGGTAATTGAGTAATAAATTATCACATTGATAGAAACAGTCAAATCATTGAAAAACACCAGCATTCTACCTTGTTACCAATAAAGCACAAGCTATCTGGGTGATGGGCACATTTATAACTTTGACTCAAGCAGTACAAAAGCAATCTATGTAACCAAAACATTTGTGCCCCTGTAGTAATATTCTGATATTTAAAAAAAAAAAAGTAAAATAAAATTAAAAAGTCTTGTGCCTACACATCAAAAAAAAAAAAAAAAGCACAAGTTTAATGGGCGATTCTGGTTTAACCCCTTTTCTCCCGAAAGTGCCATCTCTCATACCTCAATGTGTGTTTGAGTTGGATTAATTTTTAGTAGAATGGGAGGTGGCAGGGAGCGGGGGCGGAGGGGAAGAATCAGTCCTGACTTCACTTCCCAGAGGTTGGAGTCACATCAAAACAATTAACAAACAACCCTCTTCTCGGGCTGAATGGCTGAGTTAGGACTCAGTCTCCCCCAGATTTTCTCTGCTTCTGCAGCTCAAAATGGAAAACCAAGCTGCCTCCAACTGCACCCCACCCCCACCCCCATCCCACACCACATGCCATCTTTAAAGCATGTTTTTTCTCTTACTTTAGTGTTTCTCTTTGCCATCCATTACCACCATCTCCTCCGGTGCTCTAACTTCTGGATCTTTGCCCTGTCCTGAAATGCCAAAGTAGGGCAAGGTCTGACACTCCTGATGACGGGAACGATTCTAAGCTGTCTGCTGCCCTGACATACCCACTGGGGATCTGCCGGTGGGCAGCCCAGGCTGAGAACGAGGCAGGGCGGACTCGGCTCTGAGCACCGTGGGCAGAGCTCCCCGCTACCAGTTAGCCAGTGTGGGGAGGAGGTGACCAGCATTTGTGGGGAACTTTGAGCGGGGAAGAGGAGGACGAGAAACATCATCCTCACATCCTCTATCCCTAGCCAGGCTCTGTGGGGGTGGGTGGCCTTCGTCCTCAGAGGTAAGGGTATGAGGCTGGCTAACTCAATTCCTTTTCCTTCCCATGAGTGACTAAACGTTGAGACCCATCAATTGAGGTGACAGTTCCTGGCATCAGACACTTTAAAATGAGCCCCCTCTCCACGTGCCCCTGTGCACTGCAGCTAGAAGCAATGGTTTCTGGCCTGCATTACACCTGCGCCCATCCCAGCCACCCTGAGAGCAGTACAGCCAGCATGGCATGCTGCAGGTAGCGAGGAAACTGACTCTCTCTCATAGGTCTCAAGAGGAAACAGGCTGAGCCTCCCCTTCCAAAACTGTACCATGTTTGGGCCTCTGGGTCCAGAGCCTGGTTTCCTGATTTAGAGGAAGACAAACTCTCTGGTCCTGTGAGCTGACTCCAATGAATCCAGAGCAGCTCTGGGGCTTTATCTAGACTCGAGCTTTTTTATAGGCATATATGTTTTACTGAAGTCACCAGAGGGCAATCTGTCTGGATAGTCACCCTACCCGACCCCTCAGGACTCAGCCTGGATGACTGAGTGGTTGGCATCTGTTCCCCGGTTAGCTGCCTCCCCTGCTTCCTCCACAATCTACATGAATCCAATTACATGGACTGTAAACCACAAGACTATTTCAGGTTTTTCACCCAAATCTCCCTTTTCCAGGATGAAAATGGGAGTTGATTCTCTGGGGACCCTGCTGCATCACTTATTTAGAGTTATATGTATTCAGGATCAATTTGTAGCCTTTTTGTACAATCAGACCTTCTAAAAGAAATTTGCTATAGTTAATGAGATTGAGATGGGAAAATAGACCAAGGTGGGTTAGCCAATGGCCAAGAGTGGTTTTTCCCTCCAACTTTTTCCTATTCTGAAGTGCCAAATTATTCCAGTACATAATCCACCAGTGAAGAGGACTATGGGAGCATGGGCTTTGGCTTAGAAGGTCGAATCCTGACTTTGCCCCAGAAATTATATGACTTTAGGCAAGTTACTTAACTCCTCTGAGTCTCAGTTTCTCCCTGATCAATTAGGTTATTGAGAAGAATAAATGAGATCATGCTGATAAAGTGTTTAGCACTGGGCTTGGCTCAGAGCAAGCCATTCATATCAATACCACTTAGCACGCATAGAGTGTGCTGGGCTTTCAATTACCTAATTTGATCCTCCTGACATCTCTGTAGCATAAATGGCCCAGGCAGCATTACCACTGCTCCACAGAGATGGAAACTGAGAACTGAGGAGGAAAATGCATTGCTCCAAGGTCACACAAATCCTTAAGGACAGAGTCAAGGCTGGAATCCAGAGGCTCTAATTCCTTCTCTAATGTACTCTTAATATTATGCTATGTTTCATAGGCACAAAGCCTGAAACATGACATAGATGACATACTTAGTATGTGAATTATCAACACAATTATGGGCCCATGAGGTTCTAGAACTGACTAAATAACTCTTCTCCTGTTAGTTTCTTGTTAGCTTTTTATCGTGCACTTGTTGAGTCAATGCCATGTATGATGCCCCGTGCTTTATATGCATGATCTTATTTCATCCTCAGGATAACCCATGAAATAAGTGATATTAACCCCATTTTACAGATAAGGAAATGGGAGGTTACGTATCCTGTTTCGGGTAACAAACTCAATTCCAAAGTTGCACGTCCTTAAATCGCTCTACTCGGTGTGCGCTGACTTCTATGGAGTTGGAAGACTGGCCTCCCCAGCCAATCAGGAATGAGGAGAAGCCACGGGGAACGTAAGAGGGAGGACTCACAGCAGGACGTGTAATTCCTCCAGCCGGTGACCGTGATGCCCTGCGTCTGGCAGGTGCTGGCGTAGTTCTGCAGCCAGCTGCAGGCGGTCTGCACCGCGCCCCCGTCGATGCAAGAATCGAACAGGCAGTTCTTGTAGAAGAAGGCGGGGTTGACTTTGCTGTGACACTTGGAGAAGCCGGCGTTCTGGTTGGGGATCAGGCTGCACAGCTGCTGCACCTTGGAGAAACCTTCAACCTTGGCACAGGACGGACAGCGGTCCCCACAGCCCACCTGGCAGAAGGTGTCCCTTTTCACCCAGCTCTGCCCAAACTCACTGATGCTGGACGCGAGCAGACCCATGGGCATCTCCAGGTCGTCGTCGGGGTTGCTGTTGTAGCGGCCGCACAGGCCGTAGGTGCTGTTCTGCATGCTGCGGGGCACCGTGATGGACAGGAAGGTCTTCCAGTCGTACACGACCTTCAGGCCAAAGTCGGTTTCCACCACCACGTGGAAGCCAAAGGAAAAGATATTTATCTTCCCTTGTCCCAGCTTCAGGGGCAGATAGAGCCGTTCATTGTTGACCTGTAAGAGGAGAGATGTAGTGGGGAAACACAGTTGGCCCAGAGACTTCCCAGCTCTTCTTCCAATGATTAGTCTCTAGAAAGACAAGTCCCAGAGGGAGTTTGAGCGAGCTGAATGCAGTCCTTGCATGTGTGTTGTTTATGTCAGTCAACTATCATTATTAGGGTTTGAACAGACTTAAATGACTATCCTTGGTACACTAATATACCCATTTATTTCCATGCCTTCTGTTCACATAGAATTACTTCCCCCAGGAGTTCAGATTGTTTTCTCCAAGGTAATGAGAGGGTAATAGGAAATCAATTAAAGTTTAGACTAAAATACCAAAACCCAGAACTCTTGTGTTTCTATTTCTAGCTCTATCATGGATTTATTTTAGGTCCCAATGTATTATTTTTGGGGGGATATTTTTTCTTTGAAGGATAATTTTTTCCTTTGCTCTTCCATCTGCTGGGATGCCATTCTCCACCCGTCAACGTCCCTCTTGCCCTCCAGACCCCACTCCAGTGTCACCTCCTCCATAAGGCAAGATACTCCAAGCCCGCGATCAGAATTAATCACTCCCTCATCCGTCGCAACTGGAGCTTGCTGTTTCTACTTCTCTTGTATTTCCACCCCTGGCCAGGATCCAGCCTGTGTACACCGTATAGACCTCACGCTTGGCCTTATGTTGCGGCTGGGCGTGGGCGCTGCTGTCTCACCTACAGGATTACGAGCAACTTGAGGGCAGGACCCCCATCTCACTGACCCTTATGTCTACCTTCCCCTCAACACCCCCTAGGCACCCAGCACAATGTCTCCCACAGAGGGGGCGCTTCACACGTGTTTCCGCCCATATATATTTTGAACTCAGACAACAGGGAAATCCCTTAACATGAAACTCCAGAACTGCACTGCCCTTGACCTATTTTGATTCAGATGAGCCAAACCCCATGGCCTATGGCCGAGTTAGTGTATGACGGTGCATAGAGACAGCCAGGTCAGTGGCTGCAGCAGGGCTCACAGGAGAGCTGGTCTTCCCCGTGTCTTAAGATCGTCTTAATGTCTGAAGACCACTCTCTGACCAGAAATCCCTTCCCCAACCTCCGAATCTCTCTCCCCACTGGAGAAGGGAGCTGACACCCCTTCCCACCCTGCTGTTCCTGCCTTGCTTCAGACTCTCGCCACCTTTCACCTTGACAACTGCATAATCTCCTAACTTGCCTCCCTGGTGGCAGGACTGCCCCCTCCTCCATTCACTCACTCACGACTGCCACGCCAATATTTTTTAATGCAATTGAAAGCAGTCAATCTGATATTAAACTCTCTCCAGGGCTTACGTACAGAGTCTGCCGTGCTTAGCACAGCACCCTCCGCTCTGCGGCAGCGGCCCCACCTCTCAGACCCCGCCCACCTGCACCCTCCACACCAGCAACACCGGACAGTTTGCAGTCCCCTAAATGGACCAAGCGGGGTCACTCCACCTGCCTTTCCTGTGCTGCAAGTGTGACGGATTCTTTCTGGGTCCCACCCAGGGCCCCCTTCCCCAGTCCCTGTGACTGTGGAGTGTGAGCTAATGACAACTCACAGCTGGCCTTGGCCCAGGGGAGCCACTGTGCCCAGAAGGTCACGCCCCTCCTCTCCAACCTTCTACTCCAAGGGTAGCACTTGGCCAATGACTGACCAGCACTGGGGACCAACTCACGCGCCAGAACTCCCGGTAGCTGAGGCCACAGCTGGTCTCCAGCTTAGGCCACCTCCCTGCTGGGCTCTCTACCCTGGGCTTCCCTCACTCCCCCAAGCGTCCCCACCTCAGAGCATGCCTCTAGGGAACCTGACCGAAGACAGCAAGGACGTCCTTGCCCACTATTCCTTTATCCAGGGGGCGACGCTTGCCCTTCAAAATTCTCAACTCTCTCCTCTTCTATAAATATTCTTCCAGGCAGAATTCATTCATTCACCAGGAGACACACTGTGTGCAGGCACTGTGTTAAATGCTGGGATAAAGCACATCGGGCCTTTCCCTAGGAGCTCACAGGCATGTGCATAAAACAGACAATAATATTAATATCATGTGATAAAAGCAGCGATAGAAGTAAATATGTGCACAGGCACCAGACTCAGCCTGGGGACAGAATCAGGGATGCCTGCAGAAGACAATGTGTCCCTGGTCCCCGAGGACGATTAGGGGCTGGCCTGTCAAGGAGGAAGGAAAGTGAAGAAAAGGGAATTTCAAATAAAGGGCCTGGCCCCAGCAAAAGCCCAGAGGACAGAGAAAAATCCTGATAAATATGAAGAATTGAAGCAATTTAGTGCTGCTGGAGCATGGAGTGTGGCCTTGGGCGTGGCAGGAGATGAGCAAGGAGAGGCGGGGAGGGCTCGGATCACGCAGGGCCTTGTGTGTGATCCATGCATGGCAAAGAGGCCCACGAAACAAAGTCTGAAAAATATCCATACGGGTTGAAGAGGAGGACCTCGCAGAAAGGGAAAGGTTGGAGACAGAGGAGGAGGAGAGATGACAGGCAGGCAAGATCCCCAGGAAGGCAAAAGCGAGATAGCACAGGTGGAGAGTGGCCGTAGGGAGGGCAGGTGCCTCATTCTCTGCACCTGGAAGAAAGGAGGCGAAAAGGATGCAGTGGCAGTCATTTAAGTGACAGGGTGCGTGGCGGGTGGAAGGAGATGTGAGATGAGGCCTTGGAGACTCTGACCTGTCCTGAGCTCGTAGCTAATAAGCTCAACGCTGTGCGCTCAGAGGCTGACCGGCGCCAGCTGGATTTTCCACCGAAGTTTCTCTGCATTCGATATTCTTGGCTACCTGGTGTCACGCAGGAGGCAATGCCTTGGGAGGCGATATAATTGGATGAAGCTATTACAAAAGGCTTGCAGATTCTGTCATTGCCAAGGAGAACCCTGAGAAAGGAGCACTCTCAGCTCAGACAGGCTCAGCTTCTCTCGCCTTGAAAGCCCCATGACTGCTGCCTCCACCCGGGGCCACTGCCCTGAGTCTCTCTGTGAGTGAGTGAGAAACCGGGGAAGGAGGGGCTCAGGGACAGGAGGTCTGAGGGAAAGGGAGAGCCTGGAACAGCTGCAGAGCTGCATGGATGGGGGCAGACGGGAAGAAAGCATGGGGAGGGGTGCATTTTAAACATTCAGGTATTAGAAATAAGACCACATACTAGAGTTTTAGGAGAGAGTTTTTCTTTAAACGACTGGCATTGACCTATTTTCTAGCCATTTCGAGGTCCCCTGCACCCCATTCTTTGCTACTTACTACCCCCCGGGTCTTCACCAATGTTTGCTTCTCCTGGGTGCCTGACCTCATTCTCAGCCTAGCAAATGGATTCCTTCAGGGCTCAGCTCTGAGTCGTCTCTTCCAGGAAGCCCTCCCTGCAGCCCCCCAGGCCAGCCTAGGCGATCCCTCCCCTGTGCTCTCACAGCCCTCCCCAGCAGCATTTTTGCAGCCCTTCACGTTACACCAACATTAACTGACACGTCTGTCTCTCCCATAGACTATGGGCTCTCTTAGGACTGCAGCTGTAATCAACTCATTTTTCTACTCCCCAGGGCTTGGCCAGAATAGGCATCATGGAACCAAGCCAGAGTGATGCCCAACACCTCACTCTTTGCCCATGGCCCTGCACTGGCAATAAGGATAAAGACACGGGCCATGAGGGCCCCGAAAACCTCCCCATTGGCCTGGGCTGTTTCAGACCCGGCTGCCCTGAAGCCTGGGGGTGGTGGTGGCAGAGAGGCGGTCCCTGCAGAGCTCCAGCCGTGGACAGCTGAGACTGGGCTACCGCAGCGCCCCTGGGAGAGGCTCAGCTTCTGCGGCTCAGCCCCACTGCCCTGCCTGGGCTGCAGACAGCATGCTTATGTCTACTAAATGGCTCCCTTGGCTTCATGGATTTCCCCACGCCCTGCAGTGCGGCTGAATGCAGGGAAAGGTCAGAGTCATACAGGGACCCTGTGTCCCATGTCACCCTCCATTTCTGAGAGCACCCGTAGTAGTGACCTGCACTCTGGGCTGTTCTGTCCAGCACTTCACTTCACACTGTCACTCTCATGGCCCATTATTCTTCAGGCTCAGGGAAAGAAGGTGACTGATAACAACATCATGGAAAAACAAATGCAAATCATGGAATAAGCAGATCCTGGCATGCATATTAATAATTCAGAGGAACTGCTAAATCTATCCTCTAGTCCCCAAAGAAAAGAACCTTCCATGCATCTTGAGCTTGGTCTTCTTGTCAAGGGTTTGAAAGCTGCTATACACTCTGTTGCCAGCTTGAGCACTTAGGACATCTAGGTGACTTGAAAAGAAAGGCCCTGGCAAGGAGTCCACCCACCCTTTAATCCATTCCTCCTTGATACTCATTATTCCCCAAACAGTCCCTATTGCATATTGAATTGTGGCCCCTAAAAATGTATATTGAGGTCTTAATGCCTGGTATCTGTGGATGTTGACCTCACCCGTGAATAGGGTCTTTGAAGATGTAATGAGGTTAAGAGGAGGTTATGCTGGATTAGGTATGTATGGCCTAACTCCAACAACTGGCGTCCCTAAAGGGAGAGGGAGATTTGGGCACAGAGAAACGGGAGACACAGAAGGGAAGGAGGCCAGGTAGAGACAGAGGCAGAGACTGGAGTGACACTGCCGTGAGTTGAGGGGCACCAAGGACTGCCCACCACTTCCAGAAGCAAGGCGAGAGGCATGGGGCAGGCTCTTCCCTAGAAGTTCAGAGGGAGCCTGACCCTGACAACACGTTAAGTTTGGACTTCTAGCCTTCAGAGGTGTGAGAGAATAGTTTCTGTGGATTCTAAGCCACCCAGCCTGTGGTATTTTGTTGCAGCAGCCTTGAGAAGGCGATCCATGCCTTCCCTGTCCATCTCTCTAAGGGAGAAGGAATCAGCTGTGCGGCTCTCCTGGCCCTCGACTGTAGCAGAGCAGCCGTCTCGTGGGACTAGGGCAGGGCACGCGCCTGAAGGTGAGCTGGCCCAGGGCTTAGCCCCGCCGGGAAAGGGAAGGAGTACCTAGGGAGAGTAGGGAATCTGTTACTCTGAAGCAGACAGAAGGGACAGCATGCGAAAAGAATTAGTGTTCATGAGGATCCCACAGTCCATCTGTGAAAATGGCTGGGAAGAGATCAGAAAACAACCTGTGTAGCCTCAGATATCTGTATACCCGAATGCAGAGAGCGTGCAACCGAAGGCAGAAAATACAATTCATAACAAACTAGATGGGACAGGACCTATGAACAGATTAGGTTTTAAAAGAAAAAGAAAAATCCTGAAAGGTAGGAAGGTGGAGGAGTGTTATGTGTCAAAAAAGATAAGTAACTGCACGAAAACTTATAAATCTAAAGGTGGACAGACCTCAGATAAGGAGACAGGGAGAAAAGGGCAAATAGGACGCAAGCCCCGTGGACAAAATGATTGATCTCCTTGTTTTAACATACCATGAAAATAGAGTGGAGGCAAGTTATTGTAATGGGCAGCTTCAACTATCCAGGCACCTGCTAGAAATCTTACGTGGCTAAAAGCAAAGCACCTGATACACTCCTAACTTGCCTAAGTGGCAATTTAATCTCTCAGGCTGCCAAAGCAGTAACCGGCACTGTGAGGAAAGTCGCAGGAACCTTGGAAGAAAGGGGTCATTCTGTCATCTCATCCATTCACTGGAATGTACGGGGCGCTGTGCATTCGTTCAGCAGAAAGATGAATTAGGTACAGTCCCTGCCCTTAAGAAGCCCATGATTGGAATCAAGGGAGTTAGACATGAAGATCACGAAAAAATACAGTATGATTAATGCAATAATAGACACCGGAATAAGCTGTTATGAGAAGTGTAGAGGAAAACAACTGGGATTTAGGGTCATAATAGCCGAGAAAGGGAAGAAGAATGGGCACAGTGGGGTTGCTGCCTTAGATACTAAGAAGGCAGATTCCCCAATAAAGATGAAAGGGAAGATAATTCACCAAGCTTGGGAGCCTCTGTTTGTCAGAGACGGAAGTTGAGAAAATCCAAAGGAAGGCAAGAAATCAGCCTGGGTGCCCCAGGGAACTCTAGCTCAGTTTAGTTAGTTTAGTTCGTTTTAGCTTAGAAATGTAAAGAGAGGGCATACGAGATGAAAAGGAGTCCCCTTAGAGATAGAAAACTTATGATACAGACCTGTGAGAATAATGCAAGAAGCCAGGCACCCTAACTCAGCTCTCTAAGCTGCAGAGGCCGCTGGCTTGCCTTGTTCAAGTCACGTGCACAGAGCAGGACACTGGGGGAGGAGGGGCTGGGCCTGTGCCCGGGCCTGATGTCTTCAGGACAGGTGAGGAATGTACGCAGCTCCTCACCCCTACTGCTCCTGTCTTCACAGGCAATGCTCTTTGGGTGAGAAGGGTGGGGGGATAGGAAGAGGGAGCCGAAGCCCAGCTGAGTACAGGGATCGCAGGCGAGCCCCGGTGCTCCAAACGCGCGCGAGACTCAAGAACTCCCAGACCCCGTGGGCGCCTGCAGGGAGACTGGGAGACATGGAGAGTCCAGAACAGGCAAATATCATTCTGATCTCAAAAAAGGGAGGGGTGCATTGGGACAGTAGCACCACTTAGGGGGGCCTGGCCGGTGCAAGGCACGGGTTCTTCATTACAGATAGAGCAGCCACATGAGCCAGTTAAGTGGCTGCACAAAGTCACACGGCGGTTGCCAGGCTGGGAGTCTAATCTAGTCTGTGCTCTCTCCATCATACTCTGCTACAGTATGAAAGCCACCACTTCTAGAGCCGACTCTGCCTACTAATTTGGTGCCTGTGACTTAGGCGAATCATGTTTCTCTCTGAGCCTCAGTTTCCTTATCTGTAGGATACAGTGACAGAAAATCTGCAGGGCCTCTCTCCGCTGTCACATACTGGATCTGGACCCGTCTGATCCAGCTGCAGGCTGACTTGCGGACCCCTGTCCCGACGTCCCCAGGTCGGCCTGTGACTACTCACCAGCACGGTGTGCTTGTAGGCCCGGTGAATCACAATGCTGTAGCCAAACACAGTCACGTCCACCTGCTTCACCCACAGGGCCAGGGATGGGTCCCGGTCCTCGTTCTTGGCTGTGATGATGAACTTGGGGAAGGAGTCCGAGCTCGGCCTGCTTCCTGTGGTGCACAGGATGAGCGGGCAGCTGGTCTGGAAGTCAAAGGGGTAGCCGTCAAAGGTGAGGTAGTGGCCGTAGCCCGAGACAATGCAGGAGGCGTCAGTGCGGGGCTGGCAGTAGTACAGGCCGCCCTCCTCCATGCAGAATTCGTCATCCTTGCAGGGAATGGTCTCACAGTGGACGCTGTTGTCTGTGCCGTTGCAATAGCAGAAGATCTGGCAGTCCAGGTCCACCCAGAAGGTCTCGTTGGTGGCAAGCTGGTGCCCCTCGAAGTTGCAGCCACACTCGCTCCGGGTGACACACTGGCTGCCCAGCAGGGCATAGCCCTCGTCACACTGACACCCCTCAGAGCAGGTGTCCACACATATGGGGCCCAGCGCCAGGGTCTCGCAGGTCTCCGTACAGGTCATGCACTCCTCGAAGTGGCTGTTCTCCGGGCACTCCAGAGCTGAGGGTGGTCAGAACAAAGACAGGCTTGAGAAAAGGACGGAAGTCAGGACGGGAAGTGTGTGTGCGCGCGCGTGTGTGTGTGTGTGTGTGTGTGTACTCTTTGTACAGCACAGTGAACTCAATGAATGCTGTGACCCAAGGCTCAGTGAACCCCTCACTCACATGCTCTGCTAGTGCACAGAGCTTTCCTTATAGAAGGCTCTGAGTCTGCGAAGCCCGTAGGGAGCACCTACTGCATGCCAGGCACTGTCCTAGACACTTTGTGTGCCTCATCTCAACAACCTGGAAAGTGAGGGAAGTCTTATCATTCTTATCTTACAGGCGAGGAAACTGAAGTTCAATGATTTAACTTCAAATACTAGTAAGTACCAGTGAGGGATTCAAATCTAGTCCTCCTGACTCAGGGACTGTGGTGTGCCAGAAAAAACAAGTGCTCTGGGGCTACAGAGACCCGGGGATGCCACTAATTTAACTCTGGCGTGCTGTGTAATGCCTCTGAGCTCCAGTTTCCTCCTTTATTAACTAAGAATCATAGTCACCTATCAGGAGTGTTTTGAGGATGAATAACCTATGACATCGAGTCCATGGTAGAGTCTCAACAAATAGTATGCCCTTCCCCTCCTTACACTTCTGTCTACACCACAGATGGGCCTGGGGAGGTATCTGCACCCCACAGAGTGGCTCCCGTCTTCCCCTCTGTCTTTCCTTTCTCTGCTCCTCTGTTCTCTGGCCAGCTCCACCTCCTCCCCACCCTCTGCACCTGCTCTCCCCCCCACATCCTCTGCTCACGCTTTCCCCTGTCTGGATGGTCCCCTACAAAGCCAAACCCTACCCACCCTTCAAGGCTCATTTCGAATTGCCCATTCTCCCAGAATCCTTCCTGGGTAGATTAAGTTTCCGAGTCAAAAAGCACAGCATGTGCTGCCCACCGTGGAGTTCTGGGTGAGCATCCCATTTCTCTCTATTGCTTTGCTTGGTCACAATCTGACAGGGGCAGGGAGAGAATCCAGGGGCACAGAAGTCAGAGACGGAAGCGTGCGTGTCTGCACGTGTGCATGTATGCGTGTGCGCGCGCGTGTGTGCGTACTCTTTGTACGGCACAGTGTACAAAGTCTGTGTCATCTAGGGATCCAGAGATCTGAGAAGGTCCCCACCATCTTCTGGGAAAATAAGATCTCGCCTTTAGAACTTTATTTGGTTTTTATGCATACCATCATTTCTTAATGGTGTTTTACAACCCAAGGACATGAAGGACACTACAGAGAAATAAATTGCATGGCAGTAATAGCTCTGTCCACAAGTACCAACTCAACAGTTCTGCACTGTGTGCTGGAAGCCAACCCTTTTCCTCCAGGCTAAAGGACCATCTCCACTCCCGCTGACTACAGTGCCGTGCGGCTTTGGAGTTGAAGGCTAGTTCAGCACTGATTATATATGTCCGGATAGAGGAATTTTCACATTTGTCTCTAAATTATGAATGTTATAGCAGTGACTGCAGATTTATGGTGATAGCAAATAACATGACTTATTTAAATGGCTCTCGCCGTATGACTTATTGTATTGTCTGAATTTGTCTCAAAGCCTGGAACATGCAGACACGGAGTAATAAAACTTCCCCCAGGCCCTGAAATGCCTCTGTGAAATTACTTAATTGGGCGGCCTGGCTCTGCCAACAGGAGGGCTGGTTAAAAATATCTGAACACAGAAGCAGTGGTTGTCTCTCTCTAGGTTCAAAGAAGATTGTGTTCCTGATTTGCAGCTGTTGCCCAGTCCAATCTCCACTCTGCAAGACCCCGACCATAAGAATCCCTTAGTACCTGGAGACTTGATTAATCAAGTATGCACACCCCAGTCCTCACCAGTCACAGTATACAAGGTCTACATACGACATCCTAGGGGACGTCTCCAGTGGGAGCCCTGGCCCTCCGCACAAGGAAGCCATGTGTCACGTGGCTGCTTCTGCCCACATCTCTCTCTAAAAAAGGCACTTATAAGGGCTTCCTCCAGCTCTGCTGGCCCAGAGGAGGGATGGTGAGAAGATCTTCTCACTCAGTAGCCATCACATGCAGGAAAAGAGGGAACATCACTGCCATGGCCTGCTAACTGGGCACGCACAATGCCACCAAACTGTGCTCCATGCAGTACAGAAGCAATGCAGAAACACCCCCTGCTGGACAGTAGTCTAAAAGGATGGCACTGCCATGGCCTAGCAACAGAATAGACCTGGTATTGGGGGAGACTCTGTAATCCTGTGTCATGAATGAAATACAACTAGAAAGTGTGGCGTGAGTGCAGGAACAGAAGTACTGTTGGGTAAGCCAGAGACAGGACAAAAGAGGATACTGGGAGGTGGACTTCGGAAAAAAGAAAAAAAAGGCTTTGGGAAAGTATTATAAGGTCCCATAGATGTGGTGGTCAGTAGAAACTGTGGAGGCACTCCTGCTAGGGGTGACTTTATGAAAAAAGGGCATGCTCCTGAGTTCCAGCTTTGGGGTCACAGCACCTGCTATTAGTCCCTCTCCAGGGTAGGTAGGGTTCACCAGGGACACAACTGCCCTTCTCCGACATGACAGCCACCAAGCCCTCCACTTGCTCTTCAGACTTCCCAAGCTCAGAAATCAGAGGTTTAGAAAGACAAGTGTGTGTGTGTGTGTGTGTGTGTGTGTGTGTGTGAGTTTTTAGCCCTGTCTGCTGAAAGGGCCTAGAGGCAAAACAAAAACATCCCAAGAGCAGTGGGTACCCCTCACCCAGATCTTGCTTTCTAATAGCATCCCCCACCAAAAGGAGTCAGGGCTTCCTGGAGCAATGGCTGATTCCAGCCTGGGGCTGGGAAGATTAAAAAGATGAGTGTGGAGCATCTTGTCATGCCAAAAACTAAGAAAGTGCTTAAAAAATGACAGAGGGATGCCGAAGGGACACAGGAGGCAGCCCGAAGGGGCTCCCACAGGCCAAATCGGGAACAATGTTAACACCAAAAATAATTAGCAAATGTAATATGAAATATAAACCAATGGAAAAAATAAGAATCCATGTCTGTATTGATAAGATGATTGACAGACAGAGAGACAGATGCACAGACAGACAGGCAGATCACTGGACAGACAGAAGGAAGGGAGGGCTCTTGCTCACAGCATGGCCACCACTGACTGGCAAAGGTGGAGCGTGTGCCAGAGTCGGAGACTGCCAGTCTGTGATCATCACACTAAAGATGGATACAAGAAGAAATCAACAACGGCAATAAATCAAGGAGGGCGACTTTGATGAAAAGCAGGATATTTGCATGATCTTAAACCATCTCCCGGCTGATTGCTTATTAACTGCACGGGGGAAAAACACAGCGACTCTGCAGTGAGACATTCAACAGCACCCTTCCCTAGGGGATCAGCCCGCACATCGCCAGCCAGGGAGGCTGGGCACAGCATGTGCTGTGATGCCACGAGAGAACCACGTGTCACCTGCACTAGCGGCCGAGTGAGGACCTGCAGCTAGCTCACCGGGAGGAAACTCACCAGCCCCAAAGGGAGGGCCCCTCTATTGTAAAAGGGGGCAGGCTGGATTCTTCAAAAACCTCAATGTCACAAAAGACAAAGAAAACTAAGGAATTATTCCGGATTAAAGGAAACTAAGGAGATGTGACAATGAAATGCAGCATGTGGGCCTAGACTACATCTGTGCTGAGGCCAAAAAAATAAAAATTAAAAAAAAGCCATAAAGAATGTCACTGAGTTAATTGACAAAATTTGGAATATGTTAAATTGTTGTGACAATGTTAAATTTCCTAATGCCAATAACTGTACTGTGGTTATGTAAATGAACGCCCGTAATCTAAGGGGATACACGCTGAATATTTAGCGATAAAGGGCATAGTGTCTGTAACTCACTCTCAGATGGAAGGTGGGGAGGGAGAAGGGGAGGGAGAGAGGGAGAAAGAGGAACAATAGCGCAAATGGGGCAAAATGTTAACAACAGGTCAATCTGGGTAATGGGTAGACAGGTGTTCTCTTATGTAATTTTGAAATTATTTCAAAATAAAATTAAAAAAAAAAACAAACGTAGACAGGAAGAAATACAATGGAAGACAGATAAACAGGGGCAGGGGATAGAACCTAAGTGGTGGCACTGGCTTTCCATATAACTCCTCCCCGTGGTCTCCCCGATGACCAAGGGTGTTATATATCAGGTCTTCCCAGCAATTACTCTAATTACTACTAGAACGGCCACTGCCCTGCTGAGAGGGGTCAGATACTCTGGGGACAAAATGAAAAACCAGCAAGACAGGACTCTCTTCATACTCATTGTCAGGTTTGCCCCAGGGAGCGGTACTAATCTCCACACCCTGAAAGGCACCCCAAACCGATCACCTGCTATCGACATGAATGGGCCCTTCTTTGCCAAGGGAGAAGGCATCACAAAGACTTCTAGTCCTTTGGCATGGCGCCTGTACCCTCTGCTAGATAGAACCACGAGCCAACAACACCATGGCTAATTGTTCTCCAGTGAAGAGGTACTGCGCAATTAGAAATAAAAATAAAGCCGAGAAACAGCCTGGAATGGGACGAAGGGCAATTCTGGAGGACACGTCTACCTAGGGAAGGTCTGTGCAGCAATCACGTCGCCCTGGGGCTCCTCCCAGCTGCAGGGGAAGTCCTCAGTGGAAGGGTCCAGTGTGGCGTCCATTCCCCGCCCCGTGCCCTTCCCCACAAGGCGGCCCCAACTTACGGCAGAAGTCATAGGTCCGCCAGGGCCCCACCTCCACGTCTGCATTCTTGCAGGCACTGGCGTACCGGGCCACGGCGTCACAGAGCTCCGACTCGTTGCCGCCACTCTGGCACAGGCGGAAAAGGCAGGTGCGGTAGTAGGCGGTGACGTTGACCACCCCGTGGCACTCCAGGAAGGAGCTGTTGGAGGGGTCGTTGATGATGCCGCACCTGGAGCGGCTCCGATAAAACTTGAGCAGCTCCGAGTCGTTGTTGCAGGCCTTCAGCAGGTCCCCGCACTCCCCGTTGCAGATCTCCTCGAACGTCGTCCAGCTCTCCAGGAACACCGCCAGGTTGTCTGTGCACCTGCCCGTGGGCAGGCAGAACTCGTCACTGGCGTTTGCGTTGAAGAAGCCGCAGAGGCCCCCCGTGCAATTGAAGTACACGGTGGACAGCCGGATGTACAGCAGGCCCACGTCTGAGTACTGCACGGCCACCACGCCCTTGGACTCCACCGTCGTGCTGTTTCTGTTTCGGTAGATTTCCAGCCTCCCCGAAGGATGGAAAAAAGGCAAGTCCACTTCCTGGCCGTTCAACTGAAAAGTCAAATCACCCTCCTCAATTGCAGAGACACACAGAGTACCCGCCTTTTCCCGCCTTTTCCCGGGCTACGGAGCGAAGACATGGCTGTGCCCCACGACTGGCCCTGTGGGGAAGTATCAAGACGCTAATGGTCTATGGAACCACCTAGACAGACCCCAGCTGTTTTCCACGGGCTTCTCTGTTTCTTTCTGCAGGGACGCCCCTCATTATCTGACCCATTTGCTCTTTGTGTGTGTGTTCTAGACCCTAAGCTAGCCCCAAACAAACAGGATGAAATGTAAGCAGAAATCATCTTAGATACATGGCTTCCTCCTGCCACCTGACATCTCCGTGTGGTACCTTTGGCAAACGGATCCCCTTCTTCCCCACCCCCTTCCAGCTCCTTCCTTCCGCTTCAGTCTTACTTTTCCTGTGTCCCAGCTCCCTGGTGGCATAAGGGGTATAAGCTAATGATCTAGCTGCCCATCACCTATTTACCTCCTACTAGTTTTTGATAAATTAATCTCTGCCAGCGTGGCCATGGGAGTGAAAACAGCCCTTTCGGTTTGTGGGTGTGTATTTTATGGTCTCCTCGCACAGTGAAGTGTTGACTTCTGTTTTCTACACCAGACTTCGTGTGACCTCAGGAAATGCATGTTGGACTGGGAGACGGGGATTCCCCTCCCCCACGTCCCAGCTCTGCCACAGTTAGCTGTGGGACCCTCACTAAGCCCTACGGGATCTTCCTGTGAAAACAGGGAGTTGCACTAGATGATTCCCAAGATTCCTTCTAATGATCTCTGAGTCTGGATGGGTTTTTCAGAGCATGTGTCAGACAGGGGAGTGGGAGCCACCATGGCAGGCACCCCTTACCTCACCCCACATGGACTGCCGTCTGCAGGTATGAGAGTTAGCACAGTACAAGAGTTTAAGAGCACAGATTCTGGAGCCAGCCTGCCTGGGCTTGAATCCCACTTCATGGCTGTGTGTGTCCCTGAGGAAGTTACTTAACCTCTCTGTGCCTCCGTTTTCGCATCTGTGAAATGAGGATCATTGGCTTATGCTTGATACTGCTTATGAAGGGCTTAGAATAGTGCTTGGCACGTAGCAAGTGTCCTATCAGTATTTGCTATCGCGGAGAGCTAGTCCTGCTCTAGCTAACGGGAGAGATTCCAGCTTCACTCCATTTCTCCACCTGATAGACCCTAGTCGGGCTCTGATCCCATGCGGGGGCGTTTTCTGCTTCTTAGAATCCACTCAGGGGCGGAGGCAGAGAGGCCAACCTGAAGGGAAAGGCGGGCGCGGGCTCCTCCGCTTGGCGGGACTCGGCAGGAACCCCTCCAAGGGAGCAAGGAGCCTTACCTTGACTTCCGAGGCCTCGACGCCCCCTATCTTGACCTCCTGGTCGGCCACCAGGATGCGAACGCCGCGCAGCCAAGCAGGCCCCGCATCGGGCCTCTTCTTGTTGATGTCGATCTCCAGGTACTCGGGGCGCTCGGGGCAGGTCTTGAGCAGCGTGTAGGAGAACTCGGCGGGGAAGGCGTAGGCGGCGCCGTCGAAGGTGTGCAGCACCTGGTTCTGGCTGAGCAGGCACACGGTCTCGCGCCGGGGGAAGCAGCCCTGGTAGCCGTCCTCCACGGCGCACACCTCCCCGCTGCGGCACGTCTTGTTGAAGCAGTAGACGTCCCCGCCCTCCTCGCACAGGCACTGCACGGTGCAGTTGGCCGTGGCCCAGAAGAACTCCCCCATGGCGTAGTAGTGGCCGTCGAAGTCGCAGCCGCACTTGTGCAGCGGGACGCACTGGCCGGTGCTGAGCACGAAGCCCTCGTTGCACTCGCAGCCCTCCGTGCAGGGCGTGGCGCAGCTCTGCGAGGCCGTCAGGTCCGAGCACGTGTCCGGGCAGCTGCTGGTGCACACCGAGTAGTGGCTGAAGCTCGGGCACTGCACCGTGGACACTGACGCGGGCGGGGGGTGGGGGGGAGAGAGCGCGACAACAAGGTGAATGGGGCCCGAGCGCTAAGCCGCCAGAATCCGGCAAGCACAGGGGCGGGAAGGAAGAACGGGCTCCTTCTGCACCGTTTAGCTCCTACAGCGAGGGCCAAGCGGCCACTCGGTTCAGGCAAGACAGACTTGAGGTTGCACCTGCAAAATCCAGCTCAGCTACTTTCCTGACAACTTACTGAGCAACGTGATTGGACCGTGAACTTTTATTCGAATTTGCTCATCTTGGCTGAAATTAAACTTCAGGTTGCTATCCTTCCTAGACTACTGACTACTCAATATAGGTTTATTATTTGGTGATCTACAACCCTCGAGATGTTTTAAGAGCTTCAACGGATGGACATATAAATTGATCTGATTTTAAAGAACATGGCCCGTTTTTAGAAGGGAATAAATCCGACTTCCAGGAGAAGTGAAAAATGTAACCATTAGAGGAGTAATTTGAAAACATGAAATTTCTAACAGGGAGGTACTTAAAATACCCAAGCGTGACCAAGGAAGGCTGCAAGAATGAATTCCCTGGCATATTAAAAATGAGAACGAACTCTGGCTATCTGCAAAGAATTTGTCTGCCTGTTTCTCCAGAAGACTGGATCAGAATAAGATGTCTTCTAAAGGCCCTTCTTGCCTTAGAAACCTTCAGTTATTATTTTAAGAACATCTGAGTCTACTAAAGGTATGAGTTCTGGTTGAATCCAACAGGCAGGGGGTCAGGGGCCTAGTAAACTAGCTCTCTGAATTAAAAGCAATTCATCCCACTAAAACGAGAGAGAGACGAAAGAGAAATGTAGAAGGTGGGAAAGTGGTATCATCGGAAAAAATATATAGCCTTCATAGGTAAAATTTTAGTTAGGAAATTTGGATTTCTTGGGTTGCATAAGGACCAAAGTGAAGCCCTGTTCAATCTCAACTTGATTCAAAATATGGATGCCCTGGCCGTCATAGAGGCTGGTCAGTCACATAGCAAGAAAAATCCACTGTAGTTTGGCCAATACTCTAAGAATTGTGTCTGATACATAATGATTTACCTGAATCCAACCTATACTGCTAGGACGAAATTTCCCTCTGGCCTTGGAATTTAAAGAAATTTTTCAATCTTCTCACCACCACAGCACTCAAATGCATGGATTACAATTTTCTATTTACTCATATGGAGAAAACCAAGGACTGGGAAGGAAACAAAATTCATTTGATTTTACATTTTACATAATTAGGAAAAGAAAGAGAGATTTAAGTGGGGTAAAGGAAGAAATAGAGACAACTAAGGGGTACAAAAATGCTTAATCCAAAAGTGTAATTCAGAAGAGCCTGAATTTCCACCAAAGTTGGGGCTTTTCCTAACCATTCTTAACATTTCAGAAAAAGGGCTTGTTTACTGGCATACTATAGTATGCAGCCCTTTCTGTGACCAGCAGCAGCAAAGCACAAACCCTAAGGAGTCTGAAAGTGGAGAAAAAAGAGCCAAGGGACAATTGCTGCAGGTTCTGTTTGGGAGGTGAACTATTTCCCTGAGACTGGCTCAGATTACCAGGCCAGCAGCTGCATTTACTCAACAGCCGCAAAGACAGCCACCTCCACCTCTGTTAACCCCTGTCCTCGCTCAACTCTGGGGTTGCTGTCCCCTACTCTGGGGACTTCCTCCAGCCAAGTACTTCCTGCCATGCATTCCATGTTTCCAGACCACTAACGCTCACCAATGGGTTCTTGTTCCCTTGCTAAGATATTGGGTGGGGAGCAAAGTAAAGATCCTTCTTACAGTTCATTCTTTAGCATTTGTGATATTTCAACCTCGCCCTCACTCTTGGGCCACGAGCTTTAACAAGGACATTCGGGGGAGCCCTGGAAGCCTACCCCTGCCCCCTGCACAGGAGAGGCCTCTCCTAGGGACGGGATGCCAGCTTACCACACCCAGTCTGGATTCGCCAGTCTCCAATGGGAATGCCAAGGGCTTGGCACACGAGGGCGTAGGCCTGGATGGCTTGGCAGAGGAGCGTGCCGTTGTCCCTCACGCTGCACAGGTCGTACACGCAGCTGTGCACAAAGGCTGTGGGGTCCACGACAGTGCCGCACTCCCACAGGGGGCCGTCCGTCTTGTTGAGGAAGCCGCAGTAGTCGGGGCCAAAGTAGAGGGCCTCAGCGGTGGCGTCGCACTGCGTGCAGTTGTCCACGCAGCCGGAGTCACACTTCCAGTCCGCGTGGTAGACACGCCAGCTCTCTCCCAGGTCTAGGACGGACATGGCCGGCCTGCCGTCGGGGCGCAGGAAGTCGTCCAGTGGGTTCTTGTTGTAGTTGCCACAGAGCCCACAGGTGGAGTTTATATAGGAGCCTGGGATGGAAATGGAGGCGTAGTGCTGGCCGTCAAAAGTCACTAAGAGCCCAAAATCCGTTTCCACGGCAGTAGACATGCCACTCTGGTAGATTTTCACCGCCCCCAAGTCTAAGGTGACGGGCAAAGAAGTCACTAGGTCATTAACCTGCCAACAACAGTAATAGTAAAAGGCAGGTAAGCACGTGCCCGGCAATGGGTTCCAGCAGAAGTGAGGAAGGGAAGGCAAAGCAACTGTGTTCCAGAGAGACGGCCACCCAACATGCCCGGCCCCCAGTGGCCTTGCCTCTTACCAAGGCAAAGGCCTGGGAGAAAGCTCTGGAGAGCAAGTTGGTTGTGGGCCAGCCTGAGCACTGTGCACTTGGGCTGTGATAGCTGTGGCATTTCTAGGGCCACTTTAGACCCCTCTAGGGGTTGTCAGCCTTCCTGGCTGGCTGGCTCTGGGCCAGCTTCAAGTATTTTCTTGAAAGACTAGTCGCCTCCCTTTCCCTCTTTATTCCTCTAAATATCCATTCTTTAAGTCCCAGCTTAAGTCACATATTTTCCATGACCCCTTCGACTTCGAGGCCCTTACACCCCCCGCATCTCCTCCCAACTGGAAGGTGTGCTACGTCCACTGCTGCACACAGTTTGGCTTTGAGGCTGCCCTGTTGTGCTGTTCTCTGTGTTCACCCTGTAACGTCCTCACGTCAGGACTAAACCATGTAGTCATTCAACAACAACAACTTTGAACACCTGGTAAGTACCAAGCACTATGTCAGGAGCCTGAGAAGCAAAGAATTAACAAAAACGATTGCCCCTGCCCCTCAAGGAAATCTCAATCTACTGAAGAAGGACACACATTGATATTTACAATATATTGTTTTAAACATGAATCGGTAGATGAAACAATGAGGGAACAGTCCCCCCAGGCTGGGGGACTCACATAACACTTTTAGAGGCAGTTAAGTGTGATCGATCTGGTCTTTAAAGATAAACAGAAGTGGCCAAAGGAAGTGTGGGGATGGGGCAGAGAATTCCAGGACAAGAACATAAATGCCGGGGGGCTTAGAAACAGCCATATGGGGTTGGGGAGCAGTCAGCAGGGTATTAATGAGCTGCAGAGGAAGGGGTGGCTGGACATGAAGCCGGAGACACAGGCACGTTCTATTCATTCTACAAATATCTACAGAGGCCTTTCTGTGCGCCAGGCATTGTTGTAAGAGTTGAGGATTTAGCAACAAGTGCAGTGGACAAACATCCCTGCCCCGGGGGACTCATAGTTTAGCTGGGGAGATGAAAAACGAACAAGATAAATGAGTCAACTATTTATGTCAGCCAAGTGTTAACATAGTAAATGCTAAAAAAAAAAAAAAAGTACGAAAGAAAAGAGTTTCTAATTGTACATAGGGTGGTCAGGGAAGAGCTCCCTGGGAAGGGGACATCTGAGACGAGGCCCAAGCCACGCTGTTATCTGGGGTGAGAGTGGCTTAGAGGAGGAGGGGCCCCTGAGGGGGAGCACCCCTGGGTGCTCCTGGGACGGCGGCGTGGTGGGGAGTGTGGCTGGGGCAGAGAGCACACGAGAGGGCAGTGGTAGATGGTGCCGGGGAGGACAGAAGCCAGGACAGAGCAAGGGCTGTCAGCGTGGTAAAGACCTTGGCTTTGACTGCAAGAGAGGGAGAGCCAAGGGAGCGTTTAGAGCAAAGGACCGGCACGAGCTGACTTCCGCTTAGAAAGAATTGCTCTGGCTTCCGCCTTGCGAACAGATCTTGGAGGGCTTTTTAAGACATGTTCAAAACAAAACAAAACAAAACTTGGATTTCTATTCTGTAGGGAGAGCCCCTGAAGGCTTTTAAGCACAGGAATGACATAGTCAGATTTTGCATTTTAGAAATTCCATTTGTCCAGCATGAAAGATTTATTGAAGTAAGTCAAGGCTAGAAGCAGAGAACCCAGACAGGACACTGCTGCAGGAGTCTGGGGGCCGATGAGGATGAGGGCCTAAAGGAGATACAGACACAAAAAGGGAAGGGCAATCTTATGGAGCACACTCTGCTGGACCCGGTGGTGTTTGCAGTGGAGAATGAGAAATGGTGGAAGAATCCAGAGTGAGTCCCAGGTATCTAGATCATATGAGTAAATGGCTGGATAAGGCTCCAACAGAGAGAGTTAATTTTCTTTTTCACAGCTACCATGCCTAACACTTACAGACACTCACATTCATGGGCTGGGATGGAATGACTAGTCTCAGAACAGTCCTGAGTGGGCTTGACTATAAAGAACACATAAGCTATCCCAGAACCATGTGCTAGTGGTTTCTGGCACATGGGAAAAACAGGGGTCTTACCTGCCAACACTGGTGCTACTTTCTGAGTTGTCTAGGAAATGAGCAATGGACTGTCTGAGCACCACTCCTGGGATTTACCATGGCAGATGCCACGTGCAACTCTCTATCTGTAGAGATTAGTGGCTGGCCCTCACCAGAATCACCCTGAATGGCCCATTCATGGCAGTGCAGAACTTTTGCTTGCATGTACCTCTGCACTCTTCCAGCCTCTACCCGTTACCCAGTTCCAAAGCTGCTACCACATTCTTAGGTATTCATTACAGTAGCACCCCACTACTATTACCAATATTCTGTCTTAGTCTGTTTGGGGTGCTGTAACAAAATGCCATAAACTGGGTGGCTTATAAACAGCAGAAATTTATTTCTCACAGTTCGGGAGGCTGGGAAGTCCACGATCAAGGTGCTGGCAGATCCAGTGTCTAGTGAGGGCCAAATATCTGCTTCGTAAATAAAAAAACACATCTACTGTGATCACACGTGGTAGAAGAGGCAAATAAGCTCCCTCTGGCCTTTTTGATAAAGGCACTGATCTCATTCATGAGGCTCTTCCCTCATGACCTAATCACCTTCCCAAGGCCCCACCTTCTAATACCATCACTTTGGGAGTTAGGATTTCAACATATGAATTCTGGGGGACACAAACATTCAGATCATAAGCAATGGGGGAAAGAGGACAAGAAAAAATAAGTTTGAGAAACAAATCGTCCTGCAAGAGCTGAAAGTAGAAAGAAAAACCAAGGAGTTGATTAATTTATCCCTATCTCCTAGGTAGAGGATTAGCCAACAAGGGTGAGAAAAGCCATACTAAAGAGAAGGGCAGCTAGCGAGAGTACTGAACAATTACTATCCACTGTTCAGCAATGGGATGTAGAAAGGGAAATCTTCCCCAAGGTTGGTACAACTATAAATGCCAAATACATCAATTGCTGAGTGCGTTCCTGCTCTTATTTAAGAGGAAAAGCCTTATGTCCCAAAGCAGAAGCCATGGGGTAGGCTGGCTCTGTATATTCCATGAATGTGTCCCTGTCCCACTCACGCTGGCCTTACACCTGGGTGGCCATAGGTCCCAGTCAATACCCTTTTTTATTGCCTAAGTGTTCCTTGCACCCACTGTCACTCTCAGCACAAATTATAGTCATTGTGTTTGTGCTCCGCAGTGCTCAGAGCACGAGCTCCTAGAGAACCCTTGTCCTGACACGTGTTTTCTTGTTTCGGTCCTCAACCCTTGCTTAGCCAATGGCCAATGAACCTCACCTCTTTGCTCTCCCTTCTTCTCCCTGTGTTCTAGTCATTTGTCTCATTAGCTGTGTCTCTCCCAGGATGTGGTCAGGGACAAGGGGAGGAGGGGGAGGTAGAACTGCAGAAGCATAGGTCTTAGAACTGAAGGAAAGTTCCTTGGGAATGGCAACGTGAAACCAGCATGCGCTGAGTGCCTACTGTGTGCCAAGCTTGGCACCAGACATCACATGTGTGGCTATTCCATTTAATTCTCATGGCAACCTTGGAAAGCCCTTACCATCTTCCCCTTTTACAGGTGAGGAAATTGAGGATCAGGGCTGGCGTGACATGTGGGTGACAGGGCCTGACTTCCCACTGGCCAGGCTCTAAAGCCAGGATCTCTCCACTGCTCCCTGCTGCCTCCATCCTGGCGCTGAGTAGAGGCAGCTGAGGCCGGGCTACAGCCCAGGTGCCCACCTCCCAGACAGGGCCACCCCAATTTTACAGACAAAGAAAAGGCAACTCAAAGAGGCCCCTAGCTGGCAGTGGAGGCAGAGGGATTTGAGCGGCTGACCCCAGAGTGTGAGCTCTTCAGCGCCACACGCTAGTTGGCCATGGCCCCTTTTCACTGGAGCACCCTAAACTACTCGAGTTCACCTTGGGGAGAAACATGAGAACAGGTGAAGCATTAGCTAGAAGGTGATATTTATTATACATGGATTTTTAGTTATGCTGGTTTTCCTAGCTTATATTGTCCTAAATTGTTTATTTTGCGATATGAAAAGAGTTCAATGGGGGGAAATCCATACACAGAACGTAGTTTCTAACCCCAGCGTATGGAAACAGGGTTGGAGAAAGGGGTTCTGTTGTTGGGAAGGACAGAGCTTAATGGCCATGGCTGGCCTGGCACCGAGTGGCTGAAGAAGTCAGCTCCTGCCAGGTGTCTCAGGCTCCTTCCTGCCCCCCAGCCCTCTCCCTGCCTGTCCCCATGTCACCCTGGGCCGGGGCCCTGCTGTCCACCAAGCCACTTTCCCCAGCAGAGCAGGTGTATTCAGAGATGCTTGGAAACCATTTGGCAAAAGGAAAAGGAAGCCATTGTTCGCTTGCAGTGGGAGTCACACAACCTTTTCTTTCTGAAACATTTACATTCACATCCACATCTCTCTGTTGCTGCAGAAAATTGAGGAATGCGTGCCCTACGCTTGGACGATGGAACAGAGCCACACAAAATTAGCAGAGCTGCTGGGCCTGAAAGAAATAGCGGTGTCCCTTCCCTTCTTAAAAAAAAAAATAAATAACCTGACTGTGAGCAGAAAAGAATTTTAATCAAAACAGAAAGTAGGAATAAAGCACGAGTCTTTCTTTTTCAACTACTGATACCATACACATCATCCCCACAATACAGGCGAGTGGGAGAAAGCTAGTGAAAAATTTTTCTAGCTTGAGATCCCAGCATCTATCTACAAGGATGAGTATAGCGTTCAACAGCACAATATAAATTTAAAAGGGAAAACCTCCAAACTTCTGCATCCGAACTCTTAGCTTTGATTTGATCTACGGAGCTGTCCCTAGAGAGAACTAACCAAATAACAAGCAAATTGGCATTGCAACCACAGTAATAGCTCACTTTCCTCATTATGAGACTGATAAACTGCACAGACTTAGGAAAGGCAGAGCCAGAAAAAGTGGAATTAGTTCCCTGGTCCTGCCTTTTATTGGACATGCTCCATCAATTAAAACTACAACATCTTTTTTTTTTTAAAAAAAAAAGAAAGAAATCCCTGCATTGGCATCAGTTCTGGTTGTAACCTCGGTAATGACCTTCATGCATGGGGATTAAGGATTGCACGGGGTTGCAGCAATCAACCCCTCGTGGTCTCAGTTATTACTGCTCGAGTAAATACATGGTTGCAACAAGGCCTTCATTAACATCATGAAAATTGGGACCTCCACAAATTGAGTAATTGCTAGTGGCTTTTTGCTCTCCCTCTTTTGTCGATGTCCCTGCTTGAAATCCAGGTGGACAGTGACAGGACTCATTTGCATATGCTGAACAGGCCAGCAGAGACTCGTGCTCTTCTCTGTCATTCCAGACAGGAGTAGGGGGTTCTGTTAGAGGGGTATCTAGGCAAAGCTTTTGCAGACATTCCCACCCAGGCTTCAATAAGGAAGCCACCAAGGCCACCCTAGGGGCCCACACAGGTGGTGTCTCTGGAGACATCAATCAATTTGGAGGTTTCTCTGAAAATGAAGCAGCAGCTCTTGGGCAAAGAGAATGGGGGTTGGGGGGTAGTGAGGATTATTAATCAAAGGCTGCACTGAATTAGGGGTTTGTACTCTGCGTTTGCACCATGTCCAGGGCATGGCTGTGTGGTTAAAGCTATAGCAAGCCAGGGTCATGAGAAACTAAACTTACCTCTTTCCAGTTACTTCTGAGCTATGCATGTGTATGTGTGTGTGCGTCTATAGTGTTTATGAGGGAATTAGGAGTATAAATGTACTCTAAGTTAAAAAGCAGATAGGCATGTTGAGGAGAGAGCTTAGGGTAGCTCTTGGATCAATAACATTTAGTCCCGTAAAACATTTTATAAGCTATTTGCAAGGCAGAGAGAACCATGCATCTCTTTGGTACCGTCAAGAGACAAACAGCAGAGCCAGTAGAGCTGAGGGAATCTTCCCCAGGCTGAGGGATCTCCAGCTTCTCCACCTCCCCGTGAAGGATGAAGAGGGTCTCACCTTGACTTTCCCATAGCTTCCTTTGGGGATGAGAATCTTGTAGCCATTGACTTCCACTGAGAGCTCCTTCACCCAGGAGACGGCTGAGCCCCCGCGGTGCTCATTCTTGGCCTCCACGCTGAAGAAGGGGAGGCTGGAAGTCTGCAGACACTGTCGGGCCA